TAAAGGATTTGCCACTGATGATTCAAATGCGAGTTTTGAGCAGTGTAGAGTAGCACTTGTTGTTTGTCATTTCTCCGATCACAAATGCAGACAGGGTTCTATGTTTACGCGGCACAATGCAACGCAACGCGTAACAAGACAGTATAAGTCATTATAATCCGTAATTATGTCCCCACTGGATGCAACAAATGCCTCGTTTGTAATGGGTTTTAATGTTTTTGTCTCGTCGCTCCGGCCGGACACGGCATCAACAGTATGGTGAGGGGCGTAACATTTCCTTCACACGCTTGAGGTATTCGGCCAATCATAACGCACTGGATAGCTGGCCAATCACAGCACACCTTGCTTTTCAGACCGATGAGCTTTGTAAAAATCGACGCGTTTCAAAAAAAAAAACAAATTTATTTTTAGCAGCATCATATGACCCCTTTAAAACTGTAATTTATCCTGTGATGACAAAGCTGAATGTTCAGTAGTCATTACTCCAGTCTTTAGTGTCACATGATCCTTCAGAAATCATTCTGATATACTGATTTGCTGCTCGATAAATTTGACCCCAAACATTTGAACAGTAATGCAAGTGATGTGAATATATTCACAAAATCAGAGACACTTCCCTCAAATAGGATCACGAGTGGTCTCAGCTGTCCGCTTGTGATGGGATCACCCAAGACAGATGTTAATACCAGGAGTAAACAGGGCCGTACATTCACACGACCATCTGCCTTCCATTAAGAAATGCAACAGAAATGAAGTTCCCTTCTCAAATCTTCTAGACCCATTAATTTCGAATAAACAGATTCCTCTCTCTTCCTTCGCTCCCTTTTATTTTCTCTCCCTACCGCTTTCTCTCTGTCTCTCCTGTGCCGGCTCTCTCAGCAGACTATCACTGATAACAGTCCGATGAAGCGTTCAGCTTCATCTTTGGGGCATGGGCGTCAAGGCCGTTCAGTGCGGGGTGAGGACTACGCCATGGACAGGGTTATCCCAGAAGAGGGTCACAGACATGGGCATCGCCACCGAGACCGCAGTCACCGTGCGTCTGAGCGCTCCCTGAGCCGTTACACTGATGCTGACACAGGTCAGAGACAAAAACATGTAAAATAATGGTACTGATGGCATTTTGTCTTTTTAAGAGAGTAGGAGAGCTAATAGTAATGCCCTCTTTTCTCTCTCTGGCTGTGGTCTAGCAGGTCTTGGCACTGACCTCAGCACCACCACACAGTCAGGAGACCTGCCATCCAAGGAGAGGGACCGGGGCCGGGCCAAAGACCGCAAGCACCACCATCATCACCATCACCACCACGGTTCTCTAGATAAGGAGCACTACGGACATGAGAGAGAACGAGGGGACTACGGCCACAAACAGTCTAAAGAGAGAGACCGCCGCTGGTCCCGCTCACCGAGTGAGGGCAGAGAGTGCCTGACTCACAGACAGGTGGGCTATTCATTCATAATGAACATATGCTCTTAATGCACATAGAGACACATTACAGTTGAACATTTCTGCAGCACTGAAAAAAATCATTTTCTTTAAAAGTAATTTTGCCTTCACTATTGTCCAGTATATTTATCCAAACATCCATTAAAAAAATGTACATTTACTTGAAGTCAAATTAGTTAAAATATTAATCATAGAATCATAATTTAATTAGGTATATTGTTTTTAACTCATTAGCAAATTGTTTTTTATTTTGTTTTAAGAATAAATTTTTTTTAAACATTGTTAGAAAAGATGAGAAAAAAACAATTAAACTTTATTTTGAACTTTATTAACTTTAATAAATTAAGAATTAACCTATATTTTTAATTCTACATTTTTTTTGTTGCTTCTCAAGTAAACCTTTTTAAAACTTTTGTTGCTTCTCAAGTAAATCTTGTTTTAAGGATGTTTTGGTATTTTTACTGAAAAACAACGAAAATACTGATAAAGTAAAATGATTTTTGCAGAGAACCCATCTGTTTCTTATATTAAAACAGTATGTTTAACTAAAAGGATCAACATTTTTATATCTGTCTTAGGTAATTTATGCTGTTTATTTATATTGTGACAATATTATTTTCAACAATATTGTGCTAGTCAGGACCAAAAATAATGTGACCAGTCTAAATTAATTCTATTTCAGTTTTCACAATTAATAAGTTATTTTCACAGTTGCAACAGAATTCAATTCTTTTTGTTGTTTTTTCTTTCTTGTGTCCTCTCTTTTCCCTGTGATATGTTGCTTTACATTTGGTTGTTTATTTTATGGCTGTTTGCATCGGTCGCTTTGCTCTTACTGCTTTGCAATGTCTCTCATTCTTGTATCTCTCTCTCTCTCTCTCTCTCTCATGACTGCGCTCTTTCCTCTCTGACTGTGGTGTATGTGTCATCTCCTACTGTCTTTCTTCTTGTTGTGTGGTTAATTTTGTGGTTCTGTTTTATTTGCCTTGTTCCATTTTCATGTAGGGCAGTAGTTCAGTAAGCGGCAGTCCAGTCCCCTCCACCTCTGGGACCAGCACGCCCCGCCGCGGCCGGCGTCAGCTACCCCAAACCCCCGCTACGCCCCGACCCCACGTCACCTACTCTCCCGTGGTCCGTAAGCCCATTGGCGGCACTCCCCCTCCAGGCCAGCAAAACCGACTCCCCGCTCCGTCCTCCCGTCGGTTCAGTCCGCCCGGCCCCGAGCCCCCGCTTCCCCCTCACCACCACCCGTCGCCTCCCCACCACGGCTCTCCTCGCTCCACCCGTCACGCGCACTGGGGCCCCGGCCCTGTGGAGAGCGTGGAGGGTGACGGTTTCTACGATGACCAAGACTACGAGTTCAATCACCACAAGCCTCCGTCCTACGAACAAAGCCCTGTGCAGGGCAACCCTCACCCACATTCCCCCAAGACTTCCCGCCATAGCACCCCACCTCAGGGCCAGCCACATCCGCGACGCATGCCAAATGGCTACCGTTCACCCTCTCCCCACCCCCACACCCCCACCCACCAGGGAATTCATAAGCCTCCTCATCCCAGAGGGCCCAGGAAGGGCCTCCATGAACCCTACAGTGAGACTGATGAGGATGACTGGTGCTAGCCTCTGGGATGGGGAGGGGTGAGTCCTTCCACGCTCTCTGGAACGGACTGCCGCCATGCGGAGCACCAACTCGCGGTGAAACAATACTCTCACTGGATTGGCCGATCTGTCCGGGGAAGCACTAGACAGTGCTCTGAATGTTCACAGGGGAAATCAAGGCATGATTTGTTTCTTTCTATTTCTCGTTTCTTTTCCGATTCCTCTGCTGCCGAGTGTTTCCCTGAAAGTGACGGACCGCTGACAGTGAATATGAAGACTTATGAATATGAAATCCTGTTCTTAGCCTTTTTCTGAAGAATACAAAAATTGTTTTGATAAGGAGGAGGAATGTCTGAACTTTTTTTCCCAGGACATTTCACACAGTCCCTCCAGAAATGAGATGCTAGGAACTCTAGCACTCATTTAAAAAAAAAAAAGAAAAGAAGGTGATCACTTTTTGTTTCACAGATTTTGACTGGAGATTTGTTTATTGCAAAAATCAGTCCAGATGCTGGGAAATGTCGATGAGTTTTATCATCTGTGTTTACTGTTGTTAATTATTCCAGTGAGGGGGAGGCATTTGTCCATGTGGGTAAGTTGTGGGTGGGAGTTGGAGATGGACATAGGTGAACTCACCTGAACTAAAATAGGAAAGCCCACCCTGCACTTCAGACCCCCAGGCGCAAGTAAGAAGAATCACAAAAAAATAAGAAGAAGAAGAAAAAAAAGAAAAAGCTCCTCACTCTTTCTTCTTCTACGGCTTCGTCTTCTGCTTCTCATTGGAAACCTTGGGAGTTTGAATCTTCTGTTGCACTGCCCAGCTTTGTTTGAACTCCCAGAAAATAAATTCTTTGGAAATTCTGCATGATTAAAAAAAAAAGGAATAAAAAAACAAGTTTAAAAAATACATAAAGAAATGTTGGATAAAAAAGGGGGAGGGGATCAATTCCTTGGCTCTTTTGTCATGTCCGTGACGTTCTCTCTCTCTCCCATCAGCACCCTCCCTCTCTCTCACGACTGAGATTCCTCTCTCCTGAAGGAGGAAAGGGGAGAAGAAGCCATTGCTAATGTAAGTAAATGGGTGACCAGAGAGATGTTCGCAATGTTTTCTACCAGATTTGGTGCCAAATACCACATTCAATAATGATTGCGAATCAAAAATAAATGGATAGCACAATTATTTTTAAGCTTGACATTTTATAACCTTTTGATTTACATTCCTCTATCAATGTATAGATGATTTGCTCACTTGCACAAAAATGCAGATATAGTAGCACATAAAATAAACATAAAACAGGCAAAGGACACTCTTTTCCCTTACACCGCCGTAAACGTGCTCTTCCAGTCTTCCAGGGTAAACGCAGAGACAGAGAGTTGAGGGGGGAGAAGAGAGAGAGAACGAGAACCTCTTCATCTTTACATATGATTTAATGTTGATAATGATAATGTGTGTATAAAGATGATTACATAAATGATAATAATTGATGATGGTGATGAAGATGATGATGCTTTTAATTTCGTTTTCTACCTGTTTTTGTATTTGACTCAGCTGCTCTTTGTATTGCCATACTTGTTTTCATGTGAGGTTTGTGTAGATGGTGTGTGGAGCTCTGTGATAGTGATCCATAATGGGCCATGACAGAAACCCATCTGCCCTTCAGCCGACGTCCTCGGTAGCTCGGCGACTTCGGATGTTTCCATGGAAACAGTTTCTCAGCCATATCATTGAGCGTTAATGACAGTTCGAAGCATGCCTCTGATCTCGAGTCTCTGTAACTGTGAACACTTTTTATCAAGAAGGGAAAAAAAGAAAGTAGAGGAAGAGCTGACTAGTTATCGACCATATTGATATAAACATGTTATGTACATCTTTAAAGAGCATTTAGATTAAGCGAACAAGGATTAATTAGGTTGGCATAAAATTCTTACATTTTTTAATCTATTCTCACTCTTTCAGTAATAATATTTCTTTATTTATTTAAATTATTTTTACAATTATCTATATGTTTTTTTAACTTTTAATCCAGTTGTTCTGAACTAGGGGTCCTCAGCAATATTATTATTATATTATTAATAATATATTCAAATAATAAAAGAAAACATCATAGAATAAATCTTAATTCAAAATATAAAAAAAGTTACAAAACAAGCAGCTTGATGTTAAAAAGGTTGAGAACCACTGCTTTAAACTAACCTAAAAAAGTCCCGAAGACATTTTAATGTGTAAGCAAATGGTGAGAAGGTAACTGAGCTCCACTACCTCTACTAGATCAGCAGGTGACGCTGTGATCCACATTGTTCTACAGCCAGTGGTTCTGGCTCTGTCAGTCTCACTTTTTTCTGTTCCATGTTTATGTCAATGACCTGTACACTAAGAGTAGTACTATGTGTCTGTCACCGATGGTGCACAGTCCTGTGTTCAGGAAATGTAACACAGCCAATCAAACTGCACAGGAACATGTAACACAGCCAATCAAATTGCATGGGTGAAACAATGACCGGGCCTTTTCTGCCAGAACTTGTCTCTTGTGTCCCACTAATCTTTGTGTCTTTTCGGCCCATATTACCATCGTCATCTCAGTCTTGTTTACGAGGCAGAATCCTCTGTGGAATGACTCCGCATACACAGACTGCTGCCGAACGAGTCCAACTTTGCAGCATGTGCAAATTAGACAATGTATGTAGCATTTACTAACATATTATCACTCACAATCCCACTTGAGTGAGTCCTGTATGTAGCACTACTGATGAAACTAGTAAGTTTGTGGCTCTCCTTTGAGACTATGTTTATTAAGAGTGTCCACAACTGGTGAGTATATTGTCCTTGAGGATGTAAACACTAGATACAGGATCCAAGTTTCATGTCTCCCCTTGCTAGTTGAGCATTATTAGATTTTGTTGTCATTGTTTCTTTGAGAACCGCATTCTTAGGAATGCATTACTGAGATGAATCAGTGGCTTATTCACTGTTGTTTAGACCGCACATCCCATTTTTACACATTTATACAGCTGCAATGTGTCAGTTTGCAGTAAAGCTGTCTCTCTTGATTTCTTTTATCCACAACAGGCATTTACCTTCACAAGGCTTTAGTTTTTATAAGGAGAGTATCTATATATGCAATACAAACCTGTTTTGAGTTGCAAGAAGCGTCAAGGAAATGATGTGTCTATATGTTTGTGAACGGTGTGTATATGTTTGTGATCAGGTCCATGATGATGTGTTTGACCAAATTCACCATGCGAATGATTTTCAGTCATCCTCATTTGCATGCATGATGTAATCTCAACTTCTCCATGTGTGTGTGGCTGTGAGAGAAAAGACAAGCGTTAGTCTGGATAGGACATTGACATTTGTCATAATAATGAATCATTACTAACAACTTCAGTTCATGTTTGGCAAAACAAGGGACAATTAAAAATACAATGCTGATGTGGGAGTCACACTGTAAAAAGAATAAACTAAAAATAAGCAAGTTTTTGCCAGAAACAAATATAGAGAAGAATTTACCTCGAGAATTGCATGTGCAATGTGCATGCCACAGCGTTTGATAAAAAGTTAACTGCAGGAATAAAAAAAAATGTTTTGTAGAAAAAAACACAAGTACAGATAAATCTTTTTTAAAGTAATATATTCCTTTATGCTCTATTTTTTAAAACGAACAAAAAAATAACAGCATATTCTGGGGAGGAAAATCACTTTGATGCAATTTGAAAGTTGTTTGTTTCTTTCTGTTTCTAGCTGTTTTTTCTGCCAACTAGAAGGAGAGACACTTCAACACTATGTTCAGGGCACATCAATATGACTACTGTCACAAAAAAAAGAAAGAAATAAAAGAGTCAAGAAGAAAATCCTTGCTGTTTTTGATTCAGACCTGGAGTGTGCACAAAACTCTGGTTTTTAGTTTTGAAATCCCTGCTTGCACTACCAATCAAATTGCATGGGTGAAACAATGACCGGGCCTTTTCTGCCAGAACTTGTCTCTTGTGTCCCACTAATCTTTGTGTCTTTTCGGCCCATATTACCATCGTCATCTCAGTCTTGTTTACGAGGCAGAATCCTCTGTGGAATGACTCCGCATACACAGACTGCTGCCGAACGAGTCCAACTTTGCAGCATGTGCAAATTAGACAATGTATGTAGCATTTACTAACATATTATCACTCACAATCCCACTTGAGTGAGTCCTGTATGTAGCACTACTGATGAAACTAGTAAGTTTGTGGCTCTCCTTTGAGACTATGTTTATTAAGAGTGTCCACAACTGGTGAGTATATTGTCCTTGAGGATGTAAACACTAGATACAGGATCCAAGTTTCATGTCTCCCCTTGCTAGTTGAGCATTATTAGATTTTGTTGTCATTGTTTCTTTGAGAACCGCATTCTTAGGAATGCATTACTGAGATGAATCAGTGGCTTATTCACTGTTGTTTAGACCGCACATCCCATTTTTACACATTTATACAGCTGCAATGTGTCAGTTTGCAGTAAAGCTGTCTCTCTTGATTTCTTTTATCCACAACAGGCATTTACCTTCACAAGGCTTTAGTTTTTATAAGGAGAGTATCTATATATGCAATACAAACCTGTTTTGAGTTGCAAGAAGCGTCAAGGAAATGATGTGTCTATATGTTTGTGAACGGTGTGTATATGTTTGTGATCAGGTCCATGATGATGTGTTTGACCAAATTCACCATGCGAATGATTTTCAGTCATCCTCATTTGCATGCATGATGTTCTCTCAACTTCTTGATGTGTGTGGCTGTGAGAGAAAAGACAAGCGTTAGTCTGGATAGGACATTGACATTTGTCATAATAATGAATCATTACTAACAACTTCAGTTCATGTTTGGCAAAACAAGGGACAATTAAAAATACAATGCTGATGTGGGAGTCACACTGTAAAAAGAATAAACTAAAAATAAGCAAGTTTTTGCCAGAAACAAATATAGAGAAGAATTTACCTCGAGAATTGCATGTGCAATGTGCATGCCACAGCGTTTGATAAAAAGTTAACTGCAGGAATAAAAAAAAATGTTTTGTAGAAAAAAACACAAGTACAGATAAATCTTTTTTAAAGTAATATATTCCTTTATGCTCTATTTTTTAAAACAAAAATAAAACAGCATATTCTGGGGAGGAAAATCACTTTGATGCAATTTGAAAGTTGTTTGTTTCTTTCTGTTTCTAGCTGTTTTTTCTGCCAACTAGAAGGAGAGACACTTCAACACTATGTTCAGGGCACATCAATATGACTACTGTCACAAAAAAAAGAAAGAAATAAAAGAGTCAAGAAGAAAATCCTTGCTGTTTTTGATTCAGACCTGGAGTGTGCACAAAACTCTGGTTTTTAGTTTTGAAATCCCTGCTTGCACTATGGTTCTAAATTTCGGATTCTTTCACAATTCCAAAAGAAACGAGGCATGATTGTGAGCACACAGAGCATTTAGTCTTGTTTTCTGTTTCAGCCTTATCTGACACAACAGGACCACAGGGGTAGTCAAAGGACACCTCCAGAGCTTCAGAGGTCAAGTGTCTTGCTTAAATTCAGTATGGTCGGTAGAAAGTACTCTGAGCAGGATTTAACACTTTCCCATTGTGCTGCTGTCAGTTACACGCCCATACACTGTTGGCAAATATTTGAAAAGCACCAATATATACAGTTGGCCCCCAAAGTCCCAGACATGTCTTCTATTTGCCTTCTTCGATCAACATGAACTTCAAAAGTTTGTATACAGTTTGACAGATTGGTCCAAAAAGCGTCTTGTAAGCTTAAGTGGGAACAAGGAAATCAAATACAAAGAGGGAACAAATCAATTCTGTTATTATTTACTCATCCTTATGTCATTCCAAATCTAAAAAATATGGAAGCCCATTTCCGCCATGGAATCAAA